CACGAAGTGGGGGTATTGGCTGGTGTCGCAAGAAAACCCTGGCACTGGGGAGAACACTGAGCGTTCGGGTAAAATGAAAAAAATTATTATTGTTGGACCCCCTGGTGCACGCCCCCCGCCCAAAACCTAGGCCGCAGCTACATTTTCATCATTTTTCTGCGAAAGCTTCAGAAAAGTGGATTACCCCCGGATCCGGTTTTTTGTTGACGCTCGTTTTCCCTTGCAAAAAACAATAGAAAATGAAAATTCTTGTTCTTAGTTGATCAAATTTCAAGAATCCCTTGCAAAAAATAAGGTAAAGTGGACATTCGCGCTCGCAAGACGAAATCCTTCCAAAACCTTAGGTTTCGTAACGATTTTAACATAAAAACATCAAAAACCCAATGGTTTTTTAAGAAAAAATTGTCAAAATGTCCTTCCGCGCGCTCTTGCGGATTCATAGGAAACACACCACTTTTTAAACATTTCTGTCAAAAGGGTCTTTGCGTGCTACTTCTTCAGGTGCTTTGAACTTCTCCAACAACGGTTGCGCGCCTGCGAGGGCCACCATCCCTTGCAAAAAATGAGACGAAGTGCACATGCGCGCGGCCGCCGCGCGCGCATGTCGAAATCCTGCCAAACACAATGGGTTTTCAATAATTTCAAGATGCGATGTTCAGAAAACATATGAAAACGCACTACTTTCTCATCCGAAAAATCTCGAAATCCATTCGCGGTCTCTTGATGAATCTTTAAAACCCAAGATGGCCCCAACAGGCGCGCAAGATGGCCCCAAGAGGCGTCCATGAGGCCCAAAGAGGCGCCCAAGATGGTCCCAAGAGGCTTCAAGAGGACTCCAAGAGGCCCCCAAGAGGTTCCAGAGAGGCTCCAAGGTGGCTCCAAGAGACCCCCAAGATGGCCCCAGGAGGCGTTCTAGAGGCCCCAAGAAACAAATCCGCGGACCAGTGGTGGTGGTTGCCCGTATGGGGTCGGGGAGCGACGAGACATGCTCGATTGCTTGCAGGCACAACGTGCGTATTTTGCACTGCCGTATGCAAGCACCGGCCTTCCCGCCAGCAGGCGTATCGGCAATCTCATTGGGCATCTGGGACCGCACGGGTATCAGCCAGGCCCGCACGTGTATCAGCCAGGCAGCCGGGCACCCACGCGCCCGCTCCGCGCCATCGCAGACGACGATGCGTCGCGCCTTTAGTATGCTTCTGGATGCGAAGACCATTCGGTTGAGTATACCCCTACGTGTGACTGGACCTGTTTGCGAAAGCAGGAGAAAGTATGGCACCCCTTTGTGTCCAGAGCCGCGCCGTCTGCGTTCTTCCTTTCTCGCTTCTCTCCTTTCCTCCTTGTCCTGCTCCTCCTCCCCCTCTTCCGCCTTGGAGCCGTATTGGAACTGTCGATGGCCATCTCCCTTTCTCCCTCGCATGTCTGCTTGTACATACGTATAATTTCAGAACTTACCGTGCATGCGATCGTTTACAACATGGTGGACCGTGCGTATGTCACGAACCTTGTATACATGTGTTTCTCTCCCTCCGTCTGGCTGTGCACGCGCGCGTTGGGCACTGAGAGTTAGGATCATAGCGCCATGAGTCTATGAGCAATGCATGCGTCATCCTTGGGACTGTATAACATCAGTGTAACACATGTACTTCTGTAATCGCATCCCCACGAATTTGCCCCAAAAATGTGACCAACTATCTTGGCACTGCGTACCATCTCACGTGTACCGTGTACCACATCATATGTAACAGATGTGATCAACCTCTGTGGGTGTGTACCCCACGCCAGTGTAGTAGCCAGGGTCGTCCGCACGCCACGAAGTGAAGTGTCCCAACGTCATAGGGCGGGAAGCTGGGTGTGGGTGGTCTCGAAGAGTCGTTTGGATATTTGGTAGAGCTTGAACGGCCCCCCCACGAAGTGGGGGTATTGGCTGGTGTCGCAAGAAAACCCTGGCACTGGGGAGAACACTGAGCGTTCGGGTAAAATGATTGTTGTTGTTGTTGTTGTTGTTGTTGTTGTTGTTGTTGTTGTTGTGTGTGTGTGTGTGTGTGTGTTGGGTGTGTGGTGTGTGTGTTGTGTGTGTTCTGTGTTGTGTGTGTGTGTGTTTTGTGTCTTGTGTGTGTTGTGTTGTGTGTTGTGTGTTGTTTGTATTGTGTGTTGTGTGTGTTGTGTGCTGTGTGTTGTGTGTGTGTGTGTTGTGTTGTGTGTTGTGTTGTGTCTCGTGTGTCGTGTCTGTGTGCGTGTGCGCGTGCGCGGTGATTTCGTGCGTGCGCGCGAGCGTGCGTGCGTGCGTGCATGCGTGCGTGCGTGCATGTGTGTACTGTGTTGTGTTGCGTTGTGTGAGTGTGTGCGTGCGGGCGCGACTCTCATGACCTGCAAGGCTGTGCCAGACATGCGGGGCCTGTGCCTGCATGCCCCCTGTGCCAGGGATGCCAACTGCACCAGAGATGCCGATGACCCCAGGGACGCCAGGTCGCCAGGAGCGAAGATGCTAGGATGGGAGCACGAAGAGTCCGAACAGGCTCACAACTGGCTCTGGACTTGCAAACTGATTTCCATTATGATCGACCCACGAACCCGGAAATGAATCTACTAATCTGAGGTATGGCAACGCTTCAAAGACACCTGATTGGACGACGGGCAATTGCAATGCTCAAGGTAACGATGATGTAAAGTGCCACCGGCTCTGCTGTGCTGTGCCATGCTGTGCCGAATTGAAATGTGTTGTGTCGCTTTGAACTACGCTGTGCGCTATTTCATTGTGGATCAAGTCGTCCTTGGCGTCCGACTCCTGGCAGAACTGATCTGGATCTTGAACTCGAGCTGCCCGAACGCATAGCTCGCCCAGAACTGGTTGCAATCGAAACGTGCGTGGCGCTGAACCAGCTCGAAGCATGCGAAGTCCGCGCGGATTCGCTCACATTGTCGAACCACTACCTGCTCTGTGGCGCCGAGCCATGCTGCGATGTGATCCACTGAGGGGCGCACCGCGGGACGCGCCAGGGGCCGCGCCACGGTACGTGCAAGGGGGCGAGCCGCGGGACGCGCCATGGGGCGTGCCACGCGACGTGCCACGAAAAACGCCACGGACGTGCCGCGGGACGCGCCAGAAAGACACGCCAGGGGAACACCATGGGGCGTGGCAAGGGGCGCGCTAGCGGGAGCGTCGGGTGACGTCCAGGGGGGGGGGGGGGGGGTCCCAGGGGGCGCGCCAGGGGGCACGCACAGTGACGTACCAAGGGACGCTAGGAACCCATATGTTTTCACGCTTCTCCCGCCCTGGGGCGGTAGGAACCCATGCGTTTTCACGCTTCTCCCCATCGGAGCTTTCCTGGGGCCTCCTGGGCCCTTCGTGTTCCTGGAGAGGACCAATCTTGGGGCCCCTCGAAAGATCAAATCTATAGAAACATATGTGAACACACAGATTCGTGCCCCTGGAGAGGGCCAATCTATGGATCACGCGTAATCCTGGAGAGGGCCAATCTATGGGAATAGACGTTAAAACGCACGGGTTCGTGCCCGAGTGCCAATCTATAGGTAATGATCGAGCCCATATATAGGAATATGCGTAAACACGCACGGATTCGTGCCCCTGGAGAGACCCAATCTATAGGTAATGAGAGGGCCCATATATAGGAATATGCGTAAACACGCACGGATTCGTGCCCCTGGAGAGTGCCAATCTATGGGAACACACGTAATCCTGGAGAGGGCCAGTCTACAGGAATATACGTCAACACACAGATTCGTGCCCCTGGAGAATGCCAATCGATGGGTATTGAGAGGGCCCATCTATAGGAACATATGTAAAAACACACGCATGTGTGCCCCTGGATGGGGCCAATATGTGGGAACACACGTATTCCTTGAGAGGGCAAATATATCGGAATAGATGTGAAAACATACGCATTCGTGCCCCTGGAGAGAGCCAGTCTATAGGTAACGAAAGGGCCCATCTATAGGAACATACGTAAAAACACACAGATACGTACCCCTGGATGGGGCCAATCTATAGGCATTACGTAATCCATGCCCCTGACCAAAACGTGTCCCGCACCCTGTGATTTATCGATCGCGATTTCAACAACCAGCGTTTCGCTAGGGACATCCTCAAATTCTAACTCGCCGGCCCTACGCGACCTCGTTATTTATCGCAAAAGAAATCTGCCGGCCCTCTTCCCGTCAGACCCGGGGGTAAACAACTAAAAGAGAACCCTGGGCCCACGCCCTGTCCGGGAAAAAAGGACATTCTGGGAGCACGTATAGCCCAAAGTGGCCTACGCTTGGCTCTGGACGTGCAACAGCAGCACCAGGAATGGAGTATGCGTGGAGGGCTCTTCGGAGCCTCTTTTTTTGGTGCTCTTGAGAGCATCTTCGGGCCTCGTCGGGGTTTCTCCTAGCCTCTTGAGGTCTGCTGGGGACGCGCTGGAGCCTCACGCGGACTTAATTGGGGGCCTCTTGGGAGCCTCGTGGGGCCTCTTCGGAGCCGTCTTGGGAGCGTCTTGGGAGCCCCTGGGAGACGTCAGGGGGCCTCTCGGGGACTCGTGGGAGTGTCTGTGGGGCCTCTTGGCGATTCTCTTGGGGCCTTCTGGAGTCGTTTTGGAGCCCGTGCGATGCCTCGAAGGGCCACGGGGAGGGAACGTGGCGCATGGGTCATATCTTGAAGGTCCGCCGGGTTTTCGAATGACTTTAGCAGCCTTCGGAGTGCTCTTGGGGGCCGGATGCCCTCCCTCTCAGCGACTCAGGCACCCGGCACGCAACGACAAGGAAACGTGGCCCCTCACAGGGAGGGCACTGTCGGTGAGGGCAGAGGCAGGGGCAGGCGGATGGTAGAGGATGGAAGATAGGAAAGGGGAGACTGGCCAAGGCTGGAGTTGGTCCCAGGCACCAGACTCCCGAGAAGCCTCGAGCGCTCCGAGCTCCTCTGGGGGTTGGTGCAAGCCTTGCGCTCCTCGTCCCTCTCCTCCTCCTCTTCCCTCCCCCTCCCCCTCCCTCCCCCCTGGCCTCGACGCTGCCACCCAGGCCGTCGGAGATCCACATGGCCCCGAAGTCGTCGTAGCGCTGGCCCTCGAACTCCGCCGCCTGCTTCTCGATCTCGGGGACCGAGGCCTTGCGGGGGGGGGGCTCCACGAGCGGCGGGCCCGTCTTTAGCCAGCGGCGCCTTGGCTCCAACACGACGCGGTGGAGCGACGGCGGGGCGCGCACCCGTGGCGGAGTGGTGAAGCACGGCGGGGGGGGGCATCCGGGGCGTCCAAGAGGAGGGCGTCCAAGGGGGGGGGGGGGCGCAGATCATGGCCGGCGGCATGTGCGCGGCCCAGGGGCGGGGCCAGGGACGTGTGGGAATGAGAGGAGTCGCCATGAAATCTGAGGCACTATCATGGCCCACGCCATGGTATCCCCCCCCCCCCCCCGCCCTAGTCATCACCCCCCTCTTTGCCGCCCCCGAGGGTACGGGGGGGAAGGGCGCTGGTGCGGCGGAGCACGCTGAGACCGTGAAGGCCTGGAGCGTGTGTGCTAGAGGAGCGGCGGACCAAGGGCGTCGGTGCCCTGATGGGCCTGGGGCGGCCCCTCCGCTCTGCAGCGGTGGTTCCGCTGTGGTTTGGGTCTGCCGTCTCAGGTCCTTCGGGGACCCGGCGTCCTTGCGCCGCGAGCGGCGGACATGTCCGCATCCATGTGGCGGCGCGCGCAAGGGAGAAGGGAGAGGGGGATGTCTTCTTAGGAGGAGGCTGCTTCTCAGAAGGCCCTGGCCTGACATTTCTAGGTGAGGCCCACGCCATCTAAGAAGCAGGTGTGCTTCTAAGAAGCTTTCCCCCCTCCCGCTACCCCCCTTGTCTCAGAAGGATGCGCGGTAAGGATGCAGGGGCCTTGGACGCCCCTTTCGAAGCTCTTCGAGCGGGGGCGGCCAACGAAAGTGGCAAAGGATGGACGAAGGAGGCAGGGATGCAAGGGTACCTCGGGAATGACAGGCGCCGCGAGCGTCGAACACGTCCGCATCCCTGCCTTGGCAGTCTGGATTCCAGGGCGCGATCCCATGAACACGCGGTCGCATGGATCTTGGAGGCCTGGAGATGGGCACCAACCCCTTCACAAGGGGTTGCCTCCACCGCGGGGAGATGATCCTCGATGCTGTTTACTGGTGGTAATATTTCGGCCACTCGGGCAGCTCGAGTACTAGCCGGCCGCTCTGCGGTTGATCGGGAATTTCTGTATTTATATAGAGAAAGGGCGCGTGCGCCTGTGCTCGATGACGATGGTGAGAATGAGCGGGTGGCGTTGGCGCGCCCGGTGCGCCCGGTGCAGCGCCAGAAATGGTCCCTGGGGGTGCGCTGGGGGCCCGTGTGGCGATTTTGCAAGCATGTCTCGAGCGAGGGCGCCGGGTTGGGACACGCCTGGCGCGCCCAGTGCGCCCGGTGCAGCGCCGGAGATGGTCCTGACCGAGATCGGGAACATCTTCCCTCGGTGGAGGCTTTGCGGGAAGGCCACGAGCGGCGAACGCACGGCCGATTCTGGAAACTAGCTCCACAAAGATTGCCATCTCTTGGAGCCGGCCCCGTTTCTGCAGGCTTCCGCCGGCCTGCCGCCGAGGAAGAGCCGACAACTCCGTCGATCCTCGGAGTCGAGGCCCTCCCTGGAACGCCTCGTGTACTCATCCACGTCCGAGCATATCCGTATCCACGCCCTCTCGGGCGTTGCTGAATGCGGGGGCCACAGGCGGGGGGAGAAGCGTGCAGCCTTCGTGCCCCTTTTGGGGCCCGTTCGGCCTCTTGAAGGATGCAAACAAAGTGCAGCCTTCTTCATTCCCCAATTATCGCCCCCTTCATTGCGCAACGCCCGACTCTCGCGGTCTGGATTCTGGGTGCGATCGCGTGGATGAGCGGTCACATAGATGCGCTCCGCGCGGGGCATGCGCGAAGAAACGCACCGCATCCACGGGGTCGCGGCCCAGAGGCCCAGGGGCTCTGCCCGCGAGGCCGTGGATACGGACATGTGCCGCTGCGTGTCTGTAGAATGTGCGAGGACGGCGCCTGTGCACCGTACCATGTCCAGACTGCCTGCAAGCACCAGCCCAGCGCGGTGCGGTGCACATGTCGCCGCGCCAGTTGTGCTGAACGCGCCCAAGCAGGCAAGCCCGGCAGCGCGGCAAACCACCGCAAACCTTGCGCTCGAGGCGGGGTTTTCCCTGCTGGTCGAGGCGCCCTCCCCAAGACGTGCGTCGGAACAAGCGGCGCGGCGACAGACTTTTTCGGCTCCGCGGGCCGAACGAATATGCACCGTACCGTTTCCAGGTCGAGGACCGACGACGCCTCGGGTGAGGCCAACGCGGCACGGTGCACACGTCGTCACAAGTCGTCGGCGACTGCCGGATCGGGCCGTGGCCTCAGAATGGCACGTGCAGCGGTTGGCCCGTCGTCTGCGCGGCATAAGGGGGGCCCGGGGTGGGAGGGTGGCGTCCGGGCGGCGAGGCCACCGCCACACTCGAGCAGCCCCGCGCAGGGCAGTTTCTTGATCGGCGGCGAGCGGGCTCTCCGGCAAGCGGTCGGGTACCATGGAGACGTGTCTTAAGGAGCGGTGGCAAGGCCGCAGGAACCCTTGGAGGCCGAAGTTGGGATCTTGGACGTTGGGCGACCAGTGCAAACAGCAAAGGACGGGCCGCAGCAGCAAGGACGCAAGGGTACCCCAGAAAAGGCGCGCGTCCTTACTGTGCGCGTTGGCTGTATACAGCATCGGGGCATCTCGATCTGGGCACGAGGGCAGAGGAAGGCATGAGGAAAAACGAGGACAGGGGCCGCGAGACCATCGGAGCGCTCTCAGAACGTGAAGAGCTTCGGGATGCGCCAAGCGCAGGCTGATATGCTCGACGCTGTCGGTGCGGGGTCAGGCTCTACGACCGCCAATCGAGGAGGCGGGGAGGAGGCGGGGGAGGAGGTGGAGGAGGAGGAGGAGAAGCAGGAGGAGGAGGAGGGGGAGGAGGAGGGGGAGGAGGAGGAAGGAGGAGATCGAGAAGCTGCTTCGGCCAGCGCCCACAGTGAGTCTTTGCATGCGGGTTGGACTCTGTCGCAGACGCTAGGAGCGCCCTCCGGAACGGCCAAAGGCGTTCGAAGGCGTTCCTAGCGGACAAGCGCAGAGGAAATTTGACATGTTGAGGTCCTCGGTGTGAAACACCCCTGCGCAGAGGGAGCTGGTTAACGACAGAACGTCGTCGGGGGAGTCGTATCAGGAGGCGATATTCGCAGACGCGGGTAAGAGTGTGGCTGGCGGCGGGGCGAGAGCGCCCTTTGGAATGGCCAACGGCGCTCCGAGCTCGAAAGCGAAATCATCGGAAGGTGCGCTCTTTGAGATCCTGAGTGCGGCAAAACGGCAGCGCGTCGTCTGGGGAGGGGGGGGGCGAGAAAGTGCAGGCAAGGGTGAGGGAAGAGAGAGCGCGGCAACACGAACCGCCCGACGACGTCTGGACTCCTTCGAGTCGCCGGCTTCTGGAGCCCTCGAACCTCTCGCCTGGGGCCATTCTATGAACCCGGGTCGCTTCCGATGGCCCGGAAGGCCCGAGGCAGAAACACCTCCCTGGACCCCCTCTCACGGCGTGGGCCCTCGGAGGTCTCGACACGGGACCGGCTTCTCATCCTGAGCACTCTTTTCTAAGTCCCTGGAGCCCGGTCCGCCGCGCCCCGGCTTCGGGGGCCCTGGGCAGGACCGCCTGCGAAGGCCGCCTGCGATACTCGTACGATCCGGTGCGATTCGATTTGCCGTGTATGAGGCCGCGATTGCGATTCAATTCGACTCGGCTCGATTCGTCGGCACTGTCCGGGGTCAGCCAGCGCCAGGCGCGACGACTCGCTGGCGATGCGACCCGTTCCCGACCCGGCACGCTTTCGCGACTCGATCCAGCTCAGACCTGCCCTCGGTCTGCACCGGAGAGGGGCGCCGTCGGGAGGGGCCTGCTCGTGCCGCGCGGCGGTCGGCGAGGCGCCCGGCAAGGGCCCCCAGAGGCCAAGACCTGCCAGAAACCTCCCGTCGTGATTACCCATCGGTCGGAAGAAGTGGGTAGAAGCATGAAGCAGGAAGGCGTTGGAAACAGCTTGGGTGTCCGCCCGCCCCCTCAGGAGGACGGAACAGGTGAAGCCACTCGATCACTGAAGTAGGAAGCCGCTTAAAGTAGATTGGAATCTGGGGTCCAAACATACCTACTTTCAACGACCGATGGGCATTGTCCCGGGACGAAAGGATGTCAAGGTTTCGGGCCGTGGTTCTCGGGTTTCCTGCGGCGGTCTGGGACGACCCAGGCAAACCCTGGCACGGCGGTCGACGAGGCGTAGCTGCTCAAAAGAGCATCCCGAGGCTAGAGAACCACCGGGAACCAACGGAAACGTCCAAGGGCCTCGGGAACCAAGAGGGGGAGGAGGAGGAGGAGGAGGAGGAGGAGGAGGAGGAGGAGGAGGAGGAGGAGGAGGAGGAGGAGGAGGAGGAGGAGGAGGAGGAGGAGGAGGAGGAGGGGGAGGAGGAGGAGGAGGAAGAGGAGGAGGAGGAGGAGGAGGAGGAGGAGGAGGAAGGAGGAGGAGGAGGAGGAGGGAGGAGGAGGAGAGGAGGAGGAGGAGGAGGAGGAGGAGGAGGAGGAGGAAGGAGGAGAGGAGGAGGACGAGGAGGAGGAGGAGGAGGAGGAGGAGGAGGAGGAGCAGGAGCAGGAGCCCCCAAAGGCTGAGACATGCCACGCCAAAAACCTGCACCCCTTTCGCGATGCTTCCACGGCGCGAGGACGCCGCGGGGGCCCGGCGGCGCGGTCTCCTCTCTCGAGCCGCCGCGGGGTCTGCTCTGCGGGGGAGAGAGGCCCTCTGAGCAGGGCTCGACGTGCAGCAGGGGGCCCGACCACAAGAGACCTTCGGCACGCAGCCCTGAGACCCCAAGACGCCCATTGATTTTTGGTGTGGGAACGTCACGCGTTCCATAGCAAAACAGTCGAAACCCAAGACACCCAGGGCACCCTGGAGGCAAGCAAGGTGTTTCTTGGCATGGGTCTCAACTGTAAACCGTTTGTTTCGTTCTCGCTGTGTTTTTCTGCTCCCTTGTTTTGCCTTCCGTCTGCCCTTGCTGCAAACATGATCGACCCACGAACCCGGAAAGGAATATAGACATGTAAGGCAAGGCAACGTTTCCAAGACACCTGATTGGGAGACGGGCAAATGCAATGCTGAATGTATCGATGTTGATGTACTGTGCCGAGGGCTGTGCTGTGCTAGGCCGTGCTCAACGGCGATGTGCCATGCCGCGATTGTGCTCTATATAACGTTGTGGATAGAGTCCTCCCTGGCATCCGAGCCCTGGCCGAACTGATCTGGATCTTAAGCTCGAGCTGCCTGAGCAGACCAGAACTAATCGACAGAGGAAACCTGCCAGGAGGACGCGCCGCGGAAAGTCCCAAGGGACGCGCCAAGGGGACGCGCTACGGAACGTGCCAATGGACGCGCCGCGGGACGTGCCAGGGGACGCACCGCGCGATGTGCCAGGTGGACTCGCCACGGGACGCGCCAAAGAACGTGCCAAAGTGCAATGTTGAGTGTATCGATCTTGATGTACCGTGCCGACGGCTGTGCTGTGCTACGCCGTGCTGAACTGCGATGTGCCATGCCGCGATTGTGCTCTGTATAACGTTGTGGATCGAGTCCTCCCTGGCATCCGAGTCCTGGCCGAACTGATCTGGATCTCAAGCTCGAGCTGCCTGAGCAGATGGTAGCTGCCCCAGAACTAATCGACAAGGGGACATGCCAGGAGGACGCGCCGCGGAACGTCCCAAGGGACGCGCCAGGCGACGCGCCAGGGGACGTGTCATGGGCACGCACCGTGGGACGTGCCAAGGGGACGCGCTACGGAACGTGCCAATGTGCACCGCGCGACGTGCCAGGGGGACTCGCCACGGGACGCTCCGCGGAACGTGCCAGGCAACATGCCAGGCTGCAATGCTAAAAGTATCGATATTGATGTACCGTGCCGAAGGCTGTGCTGTGCCTGGGCGACCTGGACACGTGAAAACACGCGTTTCGCTCAAGACGTTCTCAGCACATCCTCATGCTAGACATCCGCCTGGACACGTGCAAACAAGCGTCTCGATCGAGACTTCCTCGACACATCCTCATGCTAGGCATCCGCCTGGGCGACCTGGACACGTGAAAACAAGCCCCTGGTTCGAGACATCCTCAACAAATCCTCATGCTGGACATCTGTCTGGGCAACCCGGAGGCGTGAAACCAATCGTCTTGCTCGAGACATCCTCAAGACCTGGGCACGTGAAAAAAAGCATTTCACTTGAGAGATCCTCCGCATTCAGGCACCCAGGAGAGGACAATCTATAACACAAAACAAACGTTTCGCTCGAGACATCCTCAACACATTATGAAAAACAAACGTCTCGCTAAGGACATCTTCAACATTTCAGTTCGCCGGCCCTACGCGACCTCGTTATTTATCGCAAAAGAAATTCGCCAGCCCTACAGCCGTCAGATCCGGGGGCACACCCCTGAAAGAGAACCCTGGGCCTGCGTCCTTTCCGGGAAAAAAGAAGTCGCCACGAACACGGCCCACGAACTCGCCAAGCCACAGTCCAGGCCGGCCCCTGCCTCTGAGGGCGCTGGCTCGGGCGGGCCTCCCACCACCACTGGAAGAGCTCGTCCTCCTCTTCTTCCTCGAACGTGACCTGGCAACGGGCCCGTGCGGCTCCTGCGCTTCCGCCGCCTCCTCCCGCCGTGCGCCGAGGATCCTCAGAACGTATGCTGGCGCCAACGTTCGGCTTCCCAACGGGAGCCTCTTCAGCACGACGCAGCCTGCGCCGCGAGGGCCGACACAGGCTGCGTGCTCTCGGTGGGGCGCCAAGGGGCACCCGTCGGTCGCAAGAAGTGCGCAGAAGCAGGAAGTATGGAGGCGCTGGAAGCAGATTGGGCTCCCACCCGCCCCCTGAAGAGGGGGAGCGGGGAAGAACCACTCGACTCCGGAAGAAGTTGCAGCTCGGGATCTTGGGATCCAGCGACGGGCGTGCAGACACACACGCGCACTGTGGGCTCCCGCAGGTGCTGCGGATTGGCGGCGCGCAAAAGCGGGGTATGGGGGGAGGGGGGGGGGAAGGCGTCGTAGAAGCACCCTGCTTCTTAGAAGGCCCCGGCCTTACCTCTGTGGACAAGGCCAGCGCCTTCTTCGAGTCGGGCGAAAGGGGAGGCGCCCACGTATCGAGGAATGGGCCCGGCGGCGGGGCCGAAACCAGCTGCATGCAGCAGATTTCGTACCCCCCCCTTTCCCTATCCCCCCCTGTTGTTCGGCCCGACTTCGAAGAAGCAGGGGTGCTTCTAAGAAGCCTCCCCCCTCCCCCCTCCCCCCCCCCCCAGGTGAAAGCGTGGTGCTTCTGGGCCTCCTCCTCGGCGCTCTGCGCCCCGCGCCCCCTCGGCGGCTCTGGAGCCCCAGCGGCACGGGGCGCCCGCCTCCCCGGGCCGAGATGCGAGAGGGAACGGGGGCGCGACGCCGAAGGACATGCGAGGGCACCCTCCCCGAGGACATGCAGCAGGCGCGAAGCACCCTGGGGCACAGGAGCACGCGCCTTGAGGCTGGGTGGTGAGGACGCAAAGGGCCCTCGGAGGCCGAGGCCGGGGATACTTCTGGGCGACGGGCGACCAGCGAGAGCGGCAAGGGACGGGCCGCGGTGGCAAGGACGCAAGGGCACCCTAGAGAAAGGCGCGCGTCCTTACTATGCGCGTTGACTGCTCCCTCCCCGAACCGACCTCGATCTCATACCTCGGTCCGGCTGCATCAGTGCCACGCTGGCTGGGCGGCCCCATCGGCGTGGTGTCACTGATGAAGGGGGGGCTCCCAGCTGCTGCGCAACGAGCGAGCGGATGGGCAACGCGAAGGGTCCGAGAGAGAGAGAGAGAGAGACAGAGAGAGAGAGAGAGAGACGACGACGCGCGCCTCACTGGTGCTCCTTAGGTACCGCTCCCGAGGAGCGGGGCGATCAGCATGTCTGGAGGGATCTGCGCATCCTCGGGCACCTCATGCCAACGGCTCGTCCCCCGTTCGGGTCGGATCGGGCCGGAACCGAGGAGGCCAGCTGGGCACGACCCCTGTTCTGGTGCAGCCTGCGACTTGCTTCACTGACATCGTCATATGCTATCCCGATTCCTCCTCCTCCTCCTCCTCCTCCTCCTCACTCCTGGCTACGGTGAGGAACTTTGCGGCGGCCTGGGCGACGCGCTATGCCTTGCGAGCGGATAGCGTGTCGCTCCGCTCCGCGAGGCGGGAGGCTCGGGACATTGACGCCTGGGGACCAGGAAGCCGATAGCATGCCGCGCCGAGAAGTGGTGGTGGAGCGGCACACTGTCCAAAAGCTCCCGACCGCTACTCCCCGGACCTCTCCTGGGGCGCGTCCTGACCAGGCTTTCGGGGAGAATGCGGCCGTGGAGACGGGGGATCTCCAGGACGAGCAGCGGCATCGGTACATTCTTCCCACGCCATCCAAGAGTTCCCGGCCGGAGCCGACCCACGCTGGGGCCGAAGTTCGCGGCCTTCCTCGCCGCGCGCCCGCGTCCCGCCGCCGCCCCTCCCCTCCCGTTTCGTCTGGTGACCGACGCCACCGAACCTCTCCACCCCGGCCAAAACGTGGGGGGGGGGCGTAATGGCTGTTCCTGGTCGGGCAGAGGCAAGCCCGACAAGAGGGGAGGAGAGAGGCGAATGGAGGCGCTCCTCCACTCCTCACCCCTCGTCCTCTCCCTCCTCCGCCTCCTCAACTTTCTCCTCGTCCCCCTCCCCCTCCTCCTCCTCCTCCTCCTCCTCCTCCTCCTCCTCCTCCTCATCCTTCTCCTCACTGCTCATCACTCCTGTTCGCCTTTCACACCACCTTACCCTCACGCTCCATCTCCTGACCCGCTCTTCATCCTCCTCCTCCTTCCTCCTCCTCCTCCTCCTCTTCCTCCTCCTCCTCCTTCCCCTCCTCCTCCTCCTCCTCCCCTCCTCCTCCTCTCCTGCTCCTCCTCGTCCTCGTCCTCGTCCACCTCCTCCTCCTCCTCCCTTCTCCTCCTCCTCATCCTCCTGCTGTTGCTCCTCCTCCGCCGCCTCCTCCGCCTCCTCCTCTCCTCTTCCTCCTCCTCCTGCTTCTCCTCCTCCTCCTCCTCCTCCTTCTGCTCCTCCTCCTCCTCCTCCTCCTCCTCCTCCTCCTCCTCCTCCTCTCTGCAGTCGCAGCGAGGGCCCTCCCCGCGCCAGAGCCTGCTCCTCTGCGCTCTGGTCCAGCTTGCCCAGGATCCACAGGAGCCGGCGCTGCTGCCTCGCGTCCTCAGCGACAGCGGGAGGGAGGGGGGGACGGGAGAAGGGAGAGGAGAGAAAGGAGAGGGGAGGGAGGGAGGGGATGAAGAGAAGGATAAAAGTAAGGAATGAGACCTGAGGTGTGAGGAGAAGAAGGAGATGGAGATGGAGGAGGAGGAGGAGGAGAAGGAGGAGGAGGTGGAGGAAATAGAGGAGTGAGAAGTGAAGAGTGTGGAGGAAGAGGAGGATAAGGAGGAAGAAGAGGGGGGCAGCAAGGAGGAGAAGGAGGAACAGGAGGAGGAGGAGGAGGACGAGTAGGAGGAGGCGGAGGAGGAGGACCAGTGGAAACCACAGAGTCATCAACGATGTTGGAATCAACTCTCCCTCCAGTTTCCCCTTTCGTAAGCTCCTACATCGGTTCATTTCCACCGAGGAACCTGCCTCGTTGGAAGGCAACCGTTTGAATACCCTGTAACATTCCAAAACCATGTTATCGGGATTCCCACGGCACGGATCAATCTGACTGTTGCGTCCTGGCGATCTTGAACCGTGCCAGAACACCGTTCCTGAGACTTCAACACTGCGAATCAGCGTACATGCTGCACCCGCATAACCCTGGATCGTTCTCAAAGACAACATTTTCGGTACGCTGATCATGGGAATTCGTGAAGCTCTTGCCGATGTTTAAAACGAATGTGCGCGGCGCTGAAGCGAGAATCACATTTTGGAAACCACATGCCCTCAATCCGTCACGCTTTTTCAAGTCTTACAAACGAAAGTGCGCGGCGCTAAGGCGAGAACCACATTTTGAAAACGACCCGCCCTCAATCCGTGAAACTCTTGCATGCTTTAAATGAATGTGCGAGGCGCTAAGGCGAGAACCATATTTTGAAAACCACCCGCCCTGAATCCGTGACACTGTTGTCACTTTTAAAGCTTCAGGGTCATACGTGGTGAGGAAGTCACAGGCGAAACGCCTGGCCCGCTCTAAAAACAGGCCTCGGGGTGCGACAGGGAGAAGTTATGTATAATGGAAAGGAATGGATGGGGAGAAGGAGTAGGAGGAGGAGGATGAGGAGGGGGAGGAGGAGGAGGACGAGGAGGAGGAGGAGTGATGAGGAGGATGATGATGAGGAGGAGGAGTGGAAGGAGGAGGAGGAGGCGGAGGAGGAGGACCAGTGGACACCCAAGGGCCAGCAACGATGTTGGAACAAACCCTCCCTTCAAGCTCCATCTTCATAGACTCCTACAACGGGCGAATGTGCACGGCGCTAAGGCGAGAACCGCATTTTGAAAACCACAGGCCCTCCATCCGTGAAGCTGTTGCCAATGTTTAAGCTTCAGGGTCATGCATGGTGAGGAAGTCTCAGGCGAATCGCCCTGACACCTGGCCTCGGGGTGCGACCAGGAGAAACTATTCATAAGGACCAAGAATGGAGGAGGAAGAGGGAGGAGGAAGAGGAGGAGGAGGAGGAGGAGGAGGAGGAGGAGGAGGAGGAGGAGGAGGAGGAGGAGGAGGAGGAGGAGCGGGAGGAGGAGGACGAGGAGGAGGAGGAGGAGGAGGAGGAGGAGGACGAGGGCGAGGAGGAGGAGGAGGGAGGAGGAGGGGGGAGGAGGGAGGAGAGAGGAGGAGGAGGAGGAGGAGGAGGAGTGGAGGAGGAGGAGGAGTGAGGAGCAGGGGAATGAGGCAGCTCACGCCACAGCTTCTCGGGTCGCCTTGGGCAGACGAGAGCCTCTTGCTGCAACGCACGGTAAACATGATCGACCCACGAACCCGGAAAGGAATATAGAACTGTAACACATGGCAGCGTTTTCAAAGACACCTGATTGGGTGACGGGCAAATGCAATGCTGAATGTATCGATCTCGATGTACCCTGCCGAGGGCTGTGCTGTGCTGCACCGTGCTGAATTGCGATGTGCCATGCCGCGATTGTGCTCTATAGCCTCGTGGATCGAGTCCTCCTTTGCATCCGAGTCCTGACCGAACTGATCTGGATCTTAAGCTCGAGCTGCCTGAACACATAGTAGCTGCCCCAGAGCTGATGGACAGGGGAGCATGTCAGGAGGACGCGCCGCGAAACGTCCCAAGGGATGCGCCAGGCGACGTGCCAGGGGACATGCCATGGGGTCGCACCGCGGGACGTGCCAAAGGGACGCGCTACGGAACGTGCCAATGGATGTGCCACGGGATGTGCCAGGGGACGCGCCACGCGACATGCCAGGGATACTCGCCAAGGGACGCGCCACGGAACGTGCCACGAAACGTGCCAAGTTGCAATGCTGAGTGTATCGATCTTGATGTACCGTGCCGAAATCTGTGCTGTGCTGCGCCGTGCTGAATTGCGATGTGCCATGCCGCGATTGTGCTCTATAGCCTCGTGGATCGAGTCCTCCTTTGCATCCGAGTCCTGACCGAACTGATCTGGATCTTAAGCTCGAGCTGCCTGAACACATAGTAGCTGCCCCAGAGCTAATGGACAGGGGGCATGCCAGGAGGACGCGACGCGGAACGTCTCAAGGGACCCGCCAAGCGACGTGCCAAGGGACGTGCCATGGGGACGCACCGCGGGACGTGCCAAGGGGACGCGCTACGGAACGTGCTGGGGACAAGCGTTTCGCTCGAGACATCCTGCCAACATCCTCAGAATTCCTGCGCGCGGGACGCGGCACGCGCGAGACATCCTCGGAATTCTTGCGAGCGGGACGTGAAAACAAGCATTTCGCCTGAGACACCCTCTGAATTCTGGACCCCCACGAGGCCCCCCACGAGGCCCCTGCTCGAGACATCCCCCAACTTTGCAAAACCAGCGTTTCGCTCGAAACGTCTCCAACAAAATATGAAAGACAAGCATTTCGCTCGAGACATCCTGCCAAAATTCAAGGAAATCCTAGCAAAACAAACGAATTAGTCGAGACATCCTCGAAATTCCTGCGCGCGGGACGCGGCACGCGCGAGACATCATCGGAATTCCTGCGCGCGGGGCGCTTTTCCGTGTCGCGGTCGGCTCTGCAAAACCAGCGTTTCGCTCGAGACATCCTCAACAAACTCTGAAAACAAGCGTTTCGCTCGAGACATCCCCAACTCTGCAAAACCAGCGTTCCGCTCGAGACATCCTCAACAAATTCTGAAAAACAAGCGTTTCGCTAGGGACATCCTCAAATTTTAATTCGCCGGCCCTCTTCCCACTCGTTATTTATCGCAAAAGAAATTCGCCGGCCCTCTTCCCGTCAAACCCGGGGGGAAACCATCTAAAAGAGAACCCTGGGCTCAAGCCCTTTCCGGGAAAAAGGGAGAAGGAAAAGGAGGGGGGAGGAGGAACGGCGGGGGAGGATGGGGTGAACGAACAGAAACATCGACGTTCAAGGTTCTGTGCTCTCGTATTGTGCCTCCGTGTGGGCGTCCTGTCCTCGTCGCCACGGCTGGATCCAAATGGAAATTCTGGTCACATGAAACACCCTACGAGAGAGGTCGGGCAGATGCCGCCGACGTCGTCGTCGTCGGCGGCGACAGCATTTCCGTCGAAACGGGCAGAGGAGGGGGAGGAGGGGGAGGAGGAGGAGGAGGAGGAGGAGGAGGGGGAGGAGGAGGAGGAGGAGGAGGAGGAGGAGGTGGAGGAGGAGGAGGAGGAGCAGGAGGAGGAGGAGGATGCGGAGGAAAAGGACGAGAAGTGTGGAGTGAGGAGGAGGATGCGGAGGAGAAGGACGAGAAGTGTGGAGTGAGGAGTGAGGAGTGAGAAAGGAGGAGGCGGCGGCGGCGGAGGAGGAGGGGGAGGAGGAGGAGGAGGAGGAGGAGGAGGAGGAGGATGAGTTAGGAGTGAGTAGGATTGAGGAGGAGCAGGAGCAGAAGCAGGGAGAGGAGCAGGATGAGTGAGGGTGGGGGGACGGCAGCGTTGAGTATCAACACCCATGGCCCACGCCTACAGCAACAGCGACACAGGAGGGGTGAGGAGTGAGGAAGGGGAGGCGGAGGGAGGAGGAGGGGGAGGAGGGAGGAGGCGGACGAGGATAACGAGGAGGAGGAGGAGGAGGAGGAGGAGGAGGAGGAGGAGGAGGAGGATAACGAGGAGGAGGAGGAGAAGCCCCGACCTCCGAAGATCGATCGGCACACCCCCATCGGCCGGACTGGAGGCCTGGCCCGGCCCAGGTCGGCCACGGAGAGACAGCGCCCAGACCCGCTCGAGGGGCGCCGCTCCCTGAGATCTCGGCGCTGCACTTCACGATACGCCGTGCGACCTCGCCCCGTGTCGGGCCCTGGGGACCTCCACAGAGCGATCCAGCTCGAGAAACGCTGCAGAAAGACCGGGTCTAGGGCTTTGATGAAGATGTCCCCGGTGTTGCACTTTTTTCGCAGCGTCGCACCTCGGGGGAGGTTCGAGGAGCGAGGCGTCTTGAGAGTCTGCCGCCCAGCCTGGGCCTTCTGGAGCGCCACCGTCGCCAGGCTGGAGTCCCCGCGAGCGTCTGATCAGAACGCACCTTTGAGCGGGCACAGACATAGGTTTTTGACGTCGGAAGATGAGCAGGGGGAGGGCAATATTGAGGACGACGACGAGGAGAAGGAAGAGGAGAAGGAGGGGGAGGAGGAGGAGGAAGATGATGACGAGGAGGAGACAAAGGAGAATAATGAGGAACAAACCCCATCACGGCTTTGACAAAAAAACGCGACTTACTGTTGTTGCCATGTTCGGCCCCCAGGGGCTCTCGACGGGCCACAGGACCGTCAAACAACGCCTCGGGATGAAGAGCCAGTCCCAGGGAATGGGTCGAGACCTCTGGGAGTCTACGTCGTGCAAAATCCCGGCGTCGGGGGTCTGAGCTGGGGGCGGGGGCCAGCGCAACTGAGCATCCAGGGCGTGTCCAGACGGAGACGGCGACGTCGCCATACGGCGACACACGGCGACGACGACGACGCAGACGACGACGCCGCCGACGCCGACGCCGACGCCAACGCTGACGACGACGACAACGACGACGACGCCGACGCCGACCCCGACGCCAACGCTGACAACGACGACGACGACGAACTCCCAAAATTTTGCATGGCAGAGCGGGGTCTCGTCCACCGTGGACATGTAATAACGGCTGCTGTCCAACTCTACCGTACTTTACACCACAGCCGCGCCTCGGACAGGCTTCGAGGGCTTCCAGTCGCACGTCGAGAAACCATCCTCCTTGATGAAGCGCCCAGCCAGTTTTTGACGGATGATGATGGTGGTGATGATGATGATGACGATGATGATGCTGCTGCTGATGATGATGGTGAGTATGGTGGTGATGAGGATGATAATGCTGATGATGCTGATGATGATGACCACGATGCTGATGCTGCTGAGGATGGTGATTCTGATGATGCATCTGATGATGATGACAGCAGGAGGAGAAAGACGGGGAACAAGATGAGCAGGGAGAGGAGGGCGACAAGGAGGAGGAGGAAGATGAGGAGGAGGAGGAGGATGAGAACGAGGAGGAGGAAGAGGAGCAAGGGGAGTAGGAAGAAGAGGAGGAAGAGGGAGAAGGAGGAAACAGAGGAGGAACCAGGAGGGGGAGAGTGAGAATGAGGAAACGGGGGAGGAAAGAGAAGGGACGAGGGACGAGAATGAGGGAGCTGAGGGTCTTGGACTTGTGCTTTGCCCTGTTCTGCAGCCTCCGGGTGCCTCTGCAGGTGGAGGAGATGGGTGAGGAGGAGGAGGAGGAGGAGGAGGAGGAGGAGGAGGCGGAGGAGACGGAGGAGGAGGAGGAGGCGGATGAGGAGAAGGAGATGGAGGAGGAGGAGGAGGAGGAAGAGAAGGAGGCTGAGGCTGAGGAGGAGGACAACGAGGAGGAGGAGGAGGAGGAGGAGGAGGAGGAGGAGGAGGAGGATCAAGGTCTTCTGGGCCCGCGTCCATGAGGGTCTCGAAGGCGCCGTACACCTTGCGGAAGGCGTCGGCGGCCTGCGGGCCCCGTCCGCCGAGCGCCAGAGGCGGAGCCAGCAGCACCACGGGTGCAACGGACGCGCGCAGGCCTCCCGAGCACGCATGCCGAAGTTCGGCGGCCCGGCGGGTCAACTGCGTGCTAAGGATCTCCTCTGAGAGGCAGGGGACATCTGTGCATCGCTAATTCGCGCGCTCGCGGCGGCCCCTGGGGGCCTCAAGAGGAAAAGCACCCCGGCGATCTCTCGGCAAGGTCCCCCCCTCAGGGATGCTTGAGCTCCTGGGCGCGGGTTTCTGGACCTGCACTGCAGCCCCAGGAGCGCCTCACGGGAGCTCCTAGGCCCCGCGACCGCCCAAGCAAGGGCGGTCCCAAACGGCCCAAGATGGCCTCAAGATGGCCCAAGAGGGCCCACTAAAGAGAGAGGCCTGAGACGGCTCAAGAGGGCCCCGAGACGGCCCAAGATCTCTCAAAGACGGTCCAAAGGTGGCACCCAAGAGGGCATCCGAGACCGCCGGGAGGCCCACATGAGCGCCCAGAAACCCCCAAGAGGTCCCAGTAGGCCCCTGGATACCCCAGAGAGGCCCCATGAACCCCCACGGAGGCACAAAGAAGGCCCTCAGGGCACCCGAGAGGCACCCCAGGAGAACCCAAGAGACATCCAACACGCACGGTAGCGGGATGCACTGACGCAGCTTTGGTGTGGGCGTGCTCCATTGAATGTTTGGCTTTCAGCTATCCTGCCGTTGCTTCTCCCCCAGGCGAGGTTCACGCGACAGCTCAGGGAAACGACCTCCACCCACCACCCTGTCAGCCCCGCGAGCACACAGACAATAGCCAACGATAATACAGGATGGGCTGGCGGAGTGCGCGAAGCGATAGAATAATCGCAGTGGCGCCATGCCAAGCACCCAACGTGCACGTAGGATCCATGGTCAGGGATGAGCCGTATTGGCAAGGATGGACGGGTAGTCTTGACAAAACACTGTGTACTTCCTGTGGGCTTTGGCAATGTCCCCATCCCCCGCCCACAATTGCCACCCCTATCGTCAACTCGACGATCGCCAGCGGAATCACGCACTATGACCGCCAGCGGAGTTTTCGCAGCTAGCCCCCGAGCGTTTCTCACTCAGCTGTCTCGCATGACAAGAGCAGCAGCGTCAAAATCTGCGACCCTGTAAACTCCACCTCCTTCCTCTCCTTCTCCCCCTGCTGATCCTTATGCTACTCCTCCACTCCCATCCCCTCCCCTCCCCTCCCCTTCCTCTCCCTCCTCCGTCTCCAACTCGGCCATCTCCCCCTTCTTCTACTCTGCCTGTAGTGTTCCCTTCATCCTTCTCGTCAGTAGCATCATCTCTATCCTTCTCTGAAGGATGAGGATGGATAGGAGGATTAATACGAGGAGGGCCGAATGAAGAGGAGGAGGAGGAAGAGGTGGAGGAGGAGGAGGAGGATAAGGAGGAGGAGGAGGAGAAGAAGAAGGATGAGGAGGGACCCGACGTGTGGACGAAGGGGAGGATGACGAAGCGGAGAGGGAAGGCGCGAGGCAGGGAGGCAGGGAGGGAAGGAGGGAGGAGGAGGAGCAGGAGGAGGCGAAAAGGAGTATGAGGAGGAGGAGGAGGGAGGAGGAGGGAGGAGGAGGGAGGAGGAGAAGAAGGAATAGCAGGGACTGGCGAAAAGGTTACGCTGGCACTGCGATCGGCAACTTCTTTGTGGCTCCAAGCTTCTTGTTTCCGCTGCAGCGACAGCGCGGTGCCAACGCGTGCGCAATCGACCTCTGCATTTCGGAAGCTTCGGGTCCCGTGGGCGCTAGCCGGCGAGACGCCACCCCCGACGCTTCCCGACATGGGGCCCGAGCGGGTGCAGCGCACAGAGCTGTGGCCCTCCTGCTGCTCCGGTCCTCCTTTCCTCTCCCGTCCCGCATCCGCGTCCTCTTCTTCCCAGCGGTCACACCTGTCCGTCCTGATCCGCCTCCCCCTCCCCTGCCCTCAACCTCCTCCCTCCCCTCATCACGTCATCACGATCCTGTCCCTCCCGAGGTTGCGGCCCCATGCATACTGGCAGACGAGGCCACGGCGCCTCCCGAAGCACAGAGCGTCTGCTCGACCAGGGCCGCGGCCCCTTGGAAGAGAGAGAGAGAGAGAGAGTAGGCATCCACGATGAGACATCTTGCCGAAAGGGGCACGTTCTTCGTCGATGCGCGAGGGTCCTGCAGTACCCCAGAGGACCCACAGAATCTCTGGGGTCCCTGCTGGCAGGCCGATGTGTTCTTTGGTGCGCCCACTGTGCAGTGCATCCTCGCTTCCTGGCGCACGACCCCCCGCAAAACAACGGTCCGGGATCAGCCCGCACCGCTCGCTGACCACCCTTCCTCTCGAGCAGCTCCCTCGCAGTTCTCCGTCCTTCGCTTCGTATCTCTCGCTGTCCCTCGCAACGTCGCTCTCGCCCTCGCTTCATAATGGAATCATCCTGCCTGAGTTGAGAAACCATCCGCCAGAGGTGATTCTGATCCCCACCGAGCAGCCCAGAGCCACAGGAGCCTTTGGTCTAGACGGCACCCAGCCCCAGTCGAAGTAAGGGCCAAAAGGCTGTGGATGACAACATCACCAGAGTTCCGACAAATTCCTCGGCATCCGCCGCCCATCCGCTCGCGTCGACTCGGTAATTTACCGTGGTCCGCCCCGGCAGGGCCTGCGGGTGGCTGTTCTTGTCCGGGTGCACGGCGAGCGAGATCTTGCGGTACTGGCGCTTCAGCGTGCCGAGCTCTTTGATCTCCTGCGCCGGCAGGTCCAGCACCTGCGGCATGCGTATGTTGCTTCTGCGGCCAGCGCAACGAGATGCAACCTGAGGAAAAGCAAAGTACATGTCAGAGGGATCGGGCCTACGAGGACTCATAGGGGCCAAATAAGGGCGTGCGGGTCCCAAGAATATACACCACCACCACCATTCCTCCGCCCTCCTCTACCCTCCTCTTCCTCTCCTTTTCCCTGGGCGAGGGAGGGAGTGAGGAAAATGGTGGTGGTGTATACTTATACTTCTGGGCCTCGTAGGATGGACGGATCCGTTCAAGAAGAGCTCCAGAGGCCCAGCGTCGCTCTTCGCGTGCCATCGGGAAGCTGGCGCTTTGCAACACCGTCCGACGCAGCGACAACATCGACATTCGCTCTGCTGAATGATCACCCGTGCTGGGCACGATCACGTCATCGTCGTCGCCACCGCTACCGCCGTCGTCGTCGCCAACGTCGTCATATCGTGTGACGTTCCGGGCTTGCCTGGCGGTGTTCGATTTCACGTCGAGGTGGAGGAGGGAGGGAGGAGACGAAGGAGAGGAAAAACAACCGCCTCTCTGCTCGGAACAGCAACCCTACCAAGAGAGGTCCGGGTTTGGGGGCATTATTTTCGAGCAAGCGTTAGGGCGGTGCAATCCTTCTATCCCCGCCCACCCTTTCTCACTTCTCCCCCGCCTCCCCCCAACTCCGCCAGACACGACCAGAAAAGGCCAAAGCACACGAACACCCAGATCCACTCCCGCCTCCCTGCCCCTCCTCCACGTAAGCCATGCGTTCGTCAAGCCTAAACCCAACCAGTAGGACAATCCTCCTCCGCCTCCTCCATCCTGCTCCTCCTTCCTCCATCCCTTCGTCCTTCTCCTCCTCCTCCTCCCCACCTCGTCCTCCCTCCCTCGCTCTTTCTTCTTTCTTCGTTTTCTTCTTCTTCTTCTTATTCGTCGTCCTCCTCCTCCTCTTCCTCTTCCTCCTCCTCCTCCTCCTCCAACCCCCGAAGATGGAAGATGGCCGGGGGGTGCCTTCCGCGTATTGTGTGTTCACACAGGATGATGCCGAGCTGATTTTCCTCATGTCTTGTTCCAGGCCGAGCGTTCTCGGTCCTTCCATAATGGTACTCCCGTTGCAGCCTGGGCCTCATTTTAGAGTCGGGACATTGCTCCCGTCGTTCAGACTGGCGCTCTCGCCCCAGCGCGGGCCACTTTTCTGGATCCAGGTCCTCATCATTGCCGCCCCCGCCTTTCCCCTCCTCCGCCTTCCCCTGGTCCTCGTGCCCCTCCCGTTCCTTACATTCCAATTCCTGCTGCTGTTCGTTCGTCCTCGTCCCCCTCCCTATGTAAGCAGCTGCCCCCTTCCGATCTCGCATAACACGCGTTGGTGGAACGAGAAAGAATTCGCGCAGTAGGGAGGCACGGTTTGGAAGGGTAGGATGACAGATATGGCGCGAGCGTGCCTAGATGTTCCTTCCCTCTCTTCCCTCCTCTTGTTCTCTCACGCCTCCTCCTCCTCCGCCTCCTCCTCCTCCTCCTCCTCCTCCTACGCCTCATCCGCCTCCTCCTCCTCCTGCTCCAACCTCCTCCTCCCCTCCCTCCTCCGCCTCCTCCTCCGCCTCCGCCTCCCCCCCCCTCCTGCCACACACGCAAAAGCCTCCACAACCTAGTCCGTTGGGAGCGCGCAGTGCTCTTGCCCGCGCCGCCCGCCCGGCGCCTCGAAGTCGTTCCTGGCAGCGAAGACCCGGTCGATGGCCTTGTCGTACCAGTACTGGCGAGGCCGCCCCAAGCGCCGTAACGCTTTTCACAACGTGCCCCCCCCCCCCTCCACAGGTCTTCACCCGTTCCTGGTGACCTGGGAGCCGACTCTCTTCCCCCTGAATTGCTCTTGTTGCGGCCCCAAGGGGCCCCCCTCCGGAGCCTTACAACCGACAGAAGTCCGCCGTCGCCGCTCTTTCCCCAGCGCGAGGGCGTCAGTCGGCGGCGCGCCCGAGGGGGGGGAGGAAGAGTGGGCGGGCCTTCTGGCCTTCTGGTGCGCTGGCCCCATCGGCGCCTCCAGGGGCCCCCAGAGGCCAAAAATCATGAAGAACCTCCAGTTTTTTTTGTAACAAAAAATATTTATTTATTTATTTATATATATATATATATATAACTCGAGGGGGTCTGGGTTTAGGATGGGGGGGGGCCCTGCTGGCGAGGCCGCCCGAGGCGGGGCCCGGGCAGCCGCGGCCAGGCGCGGCGAGGTGGCCCCCGGGCCGGGGGCGGCCCTGCCACGGCGCGCCCGGCCCTGCGACGGCGCCGTCGCGGCGGGCGCCCGCGCGGCTGGCTTCGGGGCCCCCCATCCCGCGCGCCCCGGGAGCCGCGCGCCGAGCGCCGCCCTGGCCAGGGGTCGGCGGCGAGCGAGGGGGGGGGGGAGTGAGAGAGAGGGAGGAGGCCTGCTCAGAAGGTTCGGAGGGCCCCCGCGCCTTCCGAGAGGCTCTCGAGGCCCTGCCCGAAGGCAGGCGCAGGAGCTCCGCGGGAGGCCCGGGGAGCTGCCGAGAGGTCCCGCCGCCTTCTGAGAAGGCCGTCTCCTTCGCACTTCCCCCCCTCGCTCCACTCTGGCCAAGGGCTCCTCTTGAATTTTTTGATGTAGTTCGGCATGAGCTCAGAGGGTCACACCCCTCCGCAGACTTCCCTGCGGAAGCCTCGTGCGCTAGCTCGGCCTGTGGAGCAGAGAGCGGGGACACGTGAAGAGGCGGTGCCCGAAAGGGCTCCTCGTACGTGCAGCCGATGCGGTTATCGGGCTTCGCCCTTCTCTCTTTCTCTCGCCTCTTGCTCTTCCGCCTTGCGCCTGTATCAGCTTCCTGCGCATCCCACCGCTGGCTTCACCAGCGCCTGACCGTCTCGCACGCCCTGGCGCCCGCAGACAACAGCCGATACGGTTTGGAACTGTTGTTCAGCGTGTCGCGGCGGCGGCCCCGGCGACACGCTATGCCATGCGAGCGGATAGCGTGTCGCTTCGCTCCGCAGAGAGGGAGGCTCGGGAAAGCTCGGGACGCGAACGCCTGGGGACCGCGGCATGGACAGCGTTTCGCGCCCAGGCGAGGTGGGCCAAAATCGGCGGGGCGATGACCGCGCTGCATCGCCGATGCATCGGTGACATCGGGACTGAGACTTACACCAAAGAAAAAACCCTATCAATGGATGATATGAAATTGGATCGATAAAGAGATCGATAAAGAGATCGACCAGGAACCCGGGAACCCGGGAACCCGGAACCCACCGAAATCGGCCAAGAACCAACAACCAGGAACCCAGGAACCCAGAACCGGAAACCCGGGAACCCAGCCGGCCACCAAGATCGGCGGTAAACTTTCGCCAACTCTTTCAATTTCCGCTAGGACCCCTTCAGTGCAAGCACGGATTGGGGAAACACGAGCTCCGTATCGAGCCGCATCATCGATGCATCGGCGATGCGGCGCGATGCTCCTGCCCCACCCTGCTGGGACCCCATGGAGGCGGCCTCGATACCGGCGGGGCCCACCTCCCCCGTGCGCTCGCCCTCCCTCCCCTTGAGAATCGAGGCTCGAGCTGCTTGGAGTGCCCTCTGGAGTGCTCCTCCTCCCTCCTCCTCCTCCTCCTCCTTCTCCCTCCTCCTCCTTTGCCGCGGCTGGATTTCCCTCGGACCTCCAACTTGAGAATCGAGGTTCGAGCTGCTTGGAGTGCCCTCTGGAGTGCTCCTTCTCCCTCCTCCTCCTCCTCCTCCTCCTCCTTTGCCGCGGCCGGATTTCCCTCGGGCCTCCAAACCAGAACGCACCCCACAACCAGTCCAGGGCGTCGCTCTGCTCCGCGGGGCGGGAGGCTCGGGAACGGCCGGGACGCGGACGCTTGGAACGACGAACGTGGATGGCGTGTCGCGCCGGGGCGTGGCGAGCCAGCACAGGAGGAGCGACACGCTGAGCCAAAAGTTTTCGACCGCATGTGTTGGCCAGGCGGCCGAGAACCTGGATCCTCAATCCTCGAGGCTCGATCCCCCCCCACGCAGGCACGTCGCCGCCGAACTTCGCTTCTCGATCCTCAGGCCTGAATCCTTGGACCGTCGCCGCGGCCGTCGCTGCCGTCATCGATGTCGGGGTCGCCGTCGAACCTCAGACCTCGATCCTTGAGCCTCGACCCTCGGACCTGAATCCTCGAACTGTCGCCGCGGCCGCAGCTGCCGTCGTCGATGTCGTGGTCGCCGTAACCGCTCCATGCCCTGGAGAGGCAGGTGAGCAGACGGCAGAAGAGAGGCCCGCTCCTGCGGGTCCAGCCTGGCCTCGTACAGCGCCCGCTTCGCATCACCAGCTCGAGATGTTTTTCCCAACCATCCTGTGGTGTTGGGTCCTCGTTTTCCCGCGTCTCCTTCTCTCCTCCGCTCCTTCCTCCGGACCCTCCTCCCTCCTCCATCACCATTCGCATCACCATCATCATCATCATCATCATCATCATCATCATCATCATCATCATCATCATCATCATCATCATCATCATCATCATCATCGTCGTCGTCATCATCATCATTGCCATCGTGATCATCATCACCACCATCACCACCGCCATCATCGTCAACAACATCAGCATCATAATCACCAGCATCATCATCGTCGTCACCATCACCGTCGCCATCATCATCATCCTCATCATCATCCTAATCATCATCATCATCACCATCATCATCATCATCATCATCATCATCATCACCATCACCGTCACACTCGCCATCACCATCACCGTCATCATCAACAGCATGATCATCAGCATCAGCATCAGCATCACAACCATCACCACCATCACCACCGCCAGCATCATTATCACCATCAACATCATCATCATCAGCATCATCATCACCATCACCAACATCATCATCATTATCATGATCATCATCATCATCAGCATCATCATCATCATCCCCATCCCAATCCCCATCCCCATCCCCATCGTCACCATCCTCGTCATCGTCATCGCCGTCATCACCACCATCATCGCCACCAATATCGGCATATCCCTCGCACGCTTCGTGGCCCCATAGGGAGCCCCACCGAGGGCCCCAGTGGCAGCGCCCGCATGCAGTTCCGCCCTCCGTGCCAGCACATCCCTCACACCGTTTCGTGGCCCCATAGGGAGCTCCACCGGAGGCCCCAGTCAGGCCCCAGTGGCAGCGCCCGCATGGCTCCACCTTCCACTTTGGTGCACCTATGGGGAGCTCCACCGAAGGCCCCAGTGGAAGCGCCCGCATGCGGGGCTACCTCCATTATGGTGCACCCCTCACACGCTTCGGGGCCCCATAGGGAGCCCCGCCGAAGGCCTCAATGACAGCGCCCGCATGCAGTTCCACCCTCCATGTCGATACACCTCTCACACGTTTCGTGGCCCAAGAGGGAGCTCCACCCAAGGCCCCAGTGGCAGCGCCCGCATGCAGTTCCACTCCAGTTTGGGTGCACCCCTCATACGCTTCATGACCCCATTGGGAGCTCCACCGAAGGTCCCAGTGGCAACGCCGGCATGCGGGTCCACCTTCCATTCGGCGACCCCCTCACACGCTCCGTGGCTCGATAGGGCTATACCATAGGGAGCTCCACCTAAGCCTCCAGGGGCAACGCCCGCATGCGGTCCCATCCGCCATGTCGGCACACTCTCGCACGTGTCGCTGCCCCATGGTAAGCTCCACCGAAGGCCACGGTTGCCCCTGCTGCTGGCCCCACTCCTTCATTTCATTTCCCCCGCGATGCTCGAAGGCCCCAGTGGCAGCGCCCACATGGCTCCGAGAGATTTCGGCACGCCATTTGCGCGCTTCGCGGCCCTATGAGGAGATCCACCGAAGACGATGCTCACAGCGACGGTACTCACAACTGCATGCGGCTGGGCCCCTCGCCAGGCTGGTTTGGCCGATGCCGATGCCCCTCGCGCGCAGCAAGAGTCACCGAGAGGGCCAACGCCTCAGAAGGTCACGCGACTCTCAAAAACAGCATGTTGTCAAGGATCATGGGGGAGCGAGCGAGCGAGCGCAAGCCTCTTGCTGGACGTCGCGCGAGCACGGTGAAACATGAGAACATTAGTGCAGTACCTCGGCACTGTTTACGTCGGGCTCCACCTCATCACTGCTGACTCCCATGAAGCCGCTGCTCTGTCTCCTTGACAAACGAATGCAGACAAGGCTTCCCTGGAGCCAGCCACGGACAAACCAATTGCGCATGACCATGCTGCCCCAAGATTGTCTTGGGCGTCCTCGCCTGCGTGGGCCTGACGGGGGACGGAGACACAATCCAGCTGACTCGAAAACATAATGGCGCACATGGTCTTCGTCTGGGCGTCTTGCGAGTTGCCCCATGAAGAACATCTGTCGTTTCATGAGCGTCTCACTCAAAGGCCTCTGTCCGGCCATGGCGAGAACTGCAGAATTGGACACTCGGCTGACATGCGCCGGCGACACGCGGCAGATTTTCCGGAGGCAACGGGCGTGAAATCCGTCTAATCGTCTGCGTTCGCGTATGTTCGATCATGGGGGAGGAGGGGGGAAAGCACGTCCTCCTCCTGCTGAGACGTGCCCTTCCCCTTCGAGGCTCGGGGAAATCTTTTGGGAGGGGTCCAGAAGGCGTTTGACACAGCCTGGCACTGCTGGTGTGCTTCCGGAGGCCTCTGGGTGCCTCCCAGGATCTCCGGGGCCTCCCGTGTCCCCCTACAGGCCGATGTTCGACGACGAATCAAAGATACTCCAGATTTCGTAATAAAAGGGAGGGGGTCTCAACCCTCCCAGACGAGAAGTTTTAGACCCCCTCCTCTGGGAGAACCCTCCAAAACATCGTCCCCAGACCCCCCCAGGCCCTCCAAGATAGCTTGGAAAAGACCCCCCCCGAAATGAGACCCCCCTCCCTTTATTACGAAATCTGGAGTACTCAACAAACATATTCAAACATACAATACTCAAATAATCGCCCCCAGACTATATGTTGTACTATTTTTGAAGAAAGCTCCTCCTGTAGAGAAAAAAACACTTAGCTGCCCCGATACGCAACACGCAACACGTATCGTATAGATGCGGAGCTCAACACGTAGGCTGAAAACGTAAGTCCGACGAGATACACTCGCCAAAACGTGGTCCAGTACGTGGAGCCAACACGCAACGTATTGACACGGACGTCTTGAACACGGGACGTATTGAGTTTCAAAACGGGCGTATCGAGGCAACTAAGAACACACACGTACGAGCGATGCCAAGGCCATTGGCATCCCTTCTCCCTGCCGAGGGGCGACGTCGTCGTCGCCGCGGCGCCCCCCCACGGCGAGGCCTGGAGGCCCCAGGCGATGCCCCCCCCGCGGCCCCCGCAGGGACGCCGTGGACCCAAGAGAACCTCGACCCCACGAGCCTCGCGCCTCCTCGCCACCCCTCGCTCGCAGCTCCGCCTCCTCCTCCTCCTCCTCCTGCTCCTCCTCCTCCTCCTGCTCCTCCTCCTCCTCCTGCTCCTCCTCCTCCTCCTGCTCCTTCTC